TGGCTTCACTTTCTCAAGGTCACACAGCTGCTGCGCAGTGCAGCTTGGTTACACACAAATCAGTCCCGGTCATATTTGAACCACCTTGTACTTATTGCCACTGCTTTGCAAGTATGCTTTAAAATATGCCATTAGGAAGGTCCAGGAGAGCCAAGTGGGACTGAAATTAAATGGGACACATCAGCTGCTGGTCTATGCTGCTGATGTAAATCTACTGGGCGATAATATAGATACCACAAAGAAAAACCCAGAAACTTTAACTGACGCGAGTAAGGAGGTTGGTATAGAAGTAACACAGAAAAAGCGAAGTATATGGTGCTGTCTCATCATCAGAATGCAGGGAAAAATCATGACATAAAGATAGATAACAGATGTTTTGAAAATGTGACACAGTTCAGATATTTGGGAACGATGATGATAAATGAAAACCTGATTGAGGAGGAAATTAAGAGGAGATTGAACTCGAGTAATGCTTGCTACCATTCAGTCCAGAACCTTTTGTCTTCCTGTCTGCTGTCCAAAAACATAAACATCAGAATATATAAAACTATAATTTTTCCTGGACGAAACTTGGACTCGCTCATACGAACTGCACTTGAAGCGACAATCAAATGAATGGAAGCATCCTGGCTCTCCTTGTCCAAAGAAAGTGCGCTCTACACAGAGTAATGTGAAGGCGATTTATGGCATATGACATTGCTGGAGTGATACTGCACCACACTATACTTCAACAACAGACAGTAAATGCTGCCTACTACTACACTTTCCTACGTAAACATCTTCATCCAGCACTCAAGAGAAAGCGACGACGCTTGTTGGCAACACACCCCATCATCCTTCATGACAATGCAAGGGCTCATACTGCTGATGCTGTCAAGGATCTCCTTCGCCCCTGGCGATGGGAGATACTGCAACATCTGCAATACTCACCCAATATGAGTCCATGCGATTATGATCTCTTTGCCAAAATGAAAGAACCACTGCAAGGGACACGTTACAACACAATACAGGATATTATTCGTGCTGTAGGGCGGTCACTGCAAACAGAAGTGGACGCGCTGATGGTGTATGACGCCTTCCACAAATTTTGCAGAAGGTGGTACACGTGGGGGGCAATTATATTGAAGGAATGTAAGTGTGTTTACCTCAAGTAATAAAGTCATTTCAGAACTGCAGAGGTGTTGCCACTACTTTTTATCCGACCTTTGTATATGGATCCATATATTCTTGACCTCATCACTAGTTGGAGGTGAGAGGTCAGATTCATGGCCGCTTTACCCCTGGGGAAGGAGCCACTGGTACCCATTAGACAGGAGGCTGGGTGGAACCCAAAACTGGTCTGGACAACATGGATAGGATAAACATCTTACCCCTACTGTGACTCAAACTCCAAGCTCTCAGCCATCCAGCCTGTAGCAAGTCACTATACTGACTGCACCATCCTGGCTTGAGTAGCATAAGAAAATCATGAGGAGTAACATTCTCCTACACCCCCCATTAGGCAGTCCCCTGAGACACACATAAAAGAAGTTCTAACTGTAACAGGTGAAAGATTTTTTACAGATTTCCAGGTTAACCATGGAAGCCTATATATCAGATATATTTCTTTGAATTGCAGAAATATGTATGTTCACAATCAAAGAGTGAACTCAGAACAAAACGAGAATGTAACCATCTGGTGATAGCAGAACTTCAGAAGTTGGCCAATGCTTTCCATAGCACTGGTGACCAGTGGTGGGCTTATGGCTATTAGAAAGCCATAAGTGCCATCAAAGCTTATGGATTAGAAATAAAAAGCTATGAGGTAAGTGCTTTGCAGTGGTGTTATGTCGCTTCTTCGCCAACAAAATTGATCTGTTTCTGAAGAGTATTATTTTTAAAATTCTCTTTGTTGAAATGTACTTTTTTTACACATTTGTGTTTCCTAAATGTATTCATATATTTTGAGCCAGAATGTTTGGAACTTATGCAACTTCCTTAAAGTATGTCATCTGTGAAATTTTAGGTGAGTGATTTCATACCTACCAAAATGTTTATCTCATGTGGAGGTGCAAAATGTTTTTGATTTCTCCATACGCTTCAGCTAATCGTAATGTTAGGCATCATCATGAAAATGATTCGGTCATTGCTCCTGTGTTAACATTTATGTGTGCCCCTCATGTCTTGAAACAATCCCATTGGAACTTTATTAGCCTACTTGTGGTTTAAGGAAAGGGTGGTGTATGGTATCATCGTGTTCATGTGATCCTCCTGCCACAGTAACTTTAGATCAGCATGCATATTGTCGTGTTTCAGTGACTAGACATGGGGTTTGGATTGCTAATTGGATTTACTAGACTCCTATAACTCAGTAACTACAAATAGTTATAACAATGTTATTATAGACACTTAACAAATCACTACAGCATGCTCTTAAGTCTCAGTGTGTTATGTCTTCACTGGTCATTGCTTGGTTACCATCTTTACTGCGTGTCACTAGGTTACAGCTGCTAACCATGGCGGTTCTTCATGGCCAGTCACAAACCGTCATTGCTTGCTTAACAGTTCATGAACTGCACTCACCAAACGCCTACTCAGGACTGCCTAGCCATGACTGCCAACTCAACTGCAATTCATGGCATCACTAGTCATCACTAACTACTCACTGTCTGTCACTGGCTATCAGCTGCTGCTAATGGCAATTGGCATAGTTCAAGTTAAAGTCAAAGTTATGTTATGACTAGGGACCGGATTTTAATGCAAATGCATATTTCTTTCTTACAACCAGAAAGTATGCTCGTTTGGATATATGTATGAATTACTTCATTTCTTAAATTTTGGACATGTTTTGATGGTGCATATGAAANCTGGCCTATTGTACCAGCCCCAGATGATAGGTGAGGGTGATTGTGGAGCAGTTGGTGGAATGAAGATTGGCAAGGGAAACCGAAGTACTCGGAGAAAACCTGCCCCAGCGCCACTTTATCCACTCATGGTCGTATGTATAAAATTTTTCTTTTCCGTATTAGAATATGTTGCATACTTGACTCAACATTTGGTCATGATTCATGCTTCTGATGCAATACCCAGGACGGGACTTCCCCGATCTCTCTGCTCGTAACTTACCTCATCCGCGTACCATCAAAGTGGCCGCGAAGAGATTAGTCGGAAGCGTTCACATGTAGCTGCTATCAACGTGATACTATTCAACCGATAAGGGACTCTATAAGTCTCTATGAGGTTCGTTACGCTTCTTGTTTTGAAGCTGGGGACCATTCACATTAGTGGTGACTAGTCTAGTTAAGTTTGTTTAGCTTCTTGTAGTCGTGCCGAAAGTGAAAGTAAGTCAGAAAATTGAATTACAGCTGTATCAGTGGGAGTTCAAAGGAGAGATGATAAGTACGTATAATGAAATTCTTTATTGCCAAGCGTGTGAGAAAACAGTTGGTTGTGAAAAACGCTTTCAAGTGCTTCAGCATTTGAACACTAATATACACAAAGAGAATATTAAAATTAAATCCATGAAAAGTGCTCCCGTTCAAAAATTGCTTAGAGAATTTTCTAATAATAGTTTTTCACAGTTTTCCTTTGATTTATGCGAAGCCTTTTTAGCGGCAGATATTCCCGTGTGGAAACTAACTTATCCTACTCTGAG